TTCCCAGGCCATTCCAGCAGTGGAATATGATTATCTTGAAATCACCTTTGCACACAGCAGCAACATGACATGGAGGTGAATCCTGCGGAAATAGAAAACAAACAAACAAATAAAAAGGTTCAGTACAGTATCTGGGAAAAGATCACATGCAGAACGCTTCAGTTTGGGCTCAAGTATTTCATTTATGTATTTTGGAGCATTTACATTCTGTTTTATGACACAAATTCTGCCCACACCTTTTGCTGTCATACAACCCCAGATCATCACACTATCTGGGTGTTTCATGGTCGGTGTAATGCAAGTAGGATATAAATCAGGGGTCGGCAAGCCTTACCCCGTCTGGGCCAGTTCACTCCCACAAACCGGATCCGTGGGTAAGATCGCGCGCAGGAGTGCGATCTCTCCTGTCTGCATCTCTGCAGAAGTGATTTCCGGCGCAGCAGAAGTGAGTCCCTGTGCTGCGCTGCCCCGGTTTAGCACAGCGCATGGGAACCTGCTGAGCAGATGGCTCGGTTCGGGGGGCCGCTCGTGGGCCGCTTTTGGCCCATAGGCCACAGATTGCAAATCTCTGATTCTTCTCCTCACATATTTCCTGCCATTAGTACCAAGCAAGGAGATTTGGGTCTCATCACTCCAAAGAACTCTGTCCCATTGTTCTGCTGTCCAGTTAACATGGGTTGTAGCACAGTTTAATCTTTTCCACCTTTGCTTGAGAGATAATGGCTTTTCCCTTGGAATTCTAGCATTTAGACCAGTCCTTGCACTCAACTTCACATTACATTGCGCCATGTCATCTTGTAAACACCCAGATGATTTTCTTCTGTCACGTTCGCAGTCTCTCCATTCTTTGATCATCACTTGCTGTTGTGCACCTTTTCCTGCCTTTACCAGTCTGATTTTGTAGTGACTGAGTCTCCTTATACCTCTTCAAAAATTTGGAAAGGCCAGCTTTTGTTATGTTTTCCCCAATCTTGCTTCTAATTTCTCCATAACTATAGCCTTGTTCACTTAATAGTACTATTTTACATTGCTTTATGGTTGACCAGTCAACTCTTTGTGCCATTTTAAAATTTTTATCATGTTCTGCAAACTTGCTAAATGAAAGAACACAAAAGAATCAACAACAACTTGATAGCAATCACATAACACACTGACAAAAAAAAAAAATTCCTTCCAGTAGCACCTTAGAGACCAACAAAGTTTGTTCTTGGTATGAGCTTTCGTGTGCATGCACACTTCTTCAGATACCAGCTCCTACCAATAACAAATTTAGTTGCTCTCTAAGGTGCTACTGGAAGGATTTTTTTTATTTTGCTTCGGCTAAGGAAGATCAACACGGCTACCTACCTGTAACACTGACAAAAGTCAACCTAAGCAAGTTTGCTTCCTTTTTCTGGTTATTTGGCCATGACTTTTTAATTTAATACAGATAATTGAACAAAGTTTGTTGCATTACATTCTTGATTAAATTATCTGTCCATTGCTAAATAATTTCACGGTATTACTCCAAAAGAAGTGCTGTTATGAGCCATCAAACCTCTGAAATACACTTTCCCCCGGACTTCCGGAGGCGGCGCGAAACGGCAATGGCGGTCCTCTTTAGTCTCTAAAGAGGGGCTCCGCAGAAAAGGATCGTTCACTACGGCACAGCGACGATCCATCAAGAAAAACCACGAGCAGAGTGAGCTCGTGGCCGTGGGACTCAGCGGGCACCTGGAGCGACCCCCAAAACGAAGAAGGGACCCCGGAAGCGCGGAGGGGAAGCGGTGCTGAGAGTTCATCGCTCTTTCTGCGGGAGCGAAGCCGCGCGTCTGCTGCTTATGAGCGCCGACCTTTCTTCCTTAATCATTGGACTCTAAATTATCTACTCGTGAGTAAGAGCAACTTTACTTTGGATTTACAAATTTAGAAATTTGGCCGAAAGCGGGAGACGAAATAAAAAAGAGGAAGTCCGTCTTCCGGCAGTGCTTACAGATCAAAGGCAAAGGAACTGACAGGCTGGAAGCTGTAAAAAGAGATCTTAAAGCTGGGAATTTATGCGTCTGATAGAACTGGCGATTGAAACGAAAGGCAAGTTTTCTTTTTTACCTACTTTACTGTGCTGAAGTAATCTGGGAACCTTCTCCCTTTGGTGGATCGTAAAGTTTAAAGCCCAGCCTCGGGACGGCGGGGGAAAAGAATGCTTTTTGCGGATACAATCTATAAAACTGAAATAGATACATAGAGGCAACTCTGGTACATAAAATTAAGTAACTGTATCCTGCACCTTGGGTGGTGACTTTTGTGGCAACTTTGCAAGGGCTCTGCAAGTGGAAAAAAGTTTTAAGGACTATTGTTAAACTATTTGGCTGCAGGAACTTTAATGGCGACCAAAAAATTTTCCCTTCTTTCCTGAACTCAAAATGTTCTCCCTCTGACTGTACTCCCTCTAGTGGAGATTGGGATTTACAATTTCCTGGGAACTAACTTTGTTTTGACTCTCTGCTGCTGGTTATCTACATTGAGGTCTGTTCTTCCCATGGAACATTTGACAATTTGACCTTGACTCATAGACAGGTGGGGAATGAGTGGCCCTCCGAAAACAAGAGCTGCAAAAGCGAAAGCAGTGAAAGGCCAACTTTGACTTCTCAGTCACGTAGATCATCAGTTCCTGCTGTACTGAAGGGAATTGAACCTCCAACAACAGATGAATTGAAGGGAATTGAATCTTCAACAACAGCTGAACTAAAGGAAGCTGAACAACCATCAACAGAGGATATGGCTTTAGGTGGATCGGATACACTTCTGAAGGAAATGCTACAACAATTTGCAATCTTAAATAAGAAGGTTGACGACCAAACAGCAAAAATTGACCTAGCCACATCCTCTATCACAAAGTTATCTGAACAAGTGGCTCAGCACTCACAAGCAATTGGGGATCTAAAAGACGCTACTTCTGAGAATCGGAAATTGGCCGAAGCTGCGAACGAAAAAGCTGACCAAGCAATACAAAAAGTGGATGAATTGAAAGGAGAGGTAAGGCCACTACACAAGCACATTGGGGACCAGCAGGCCTACCTGTCTATGGTGGAATTGAGAAACCGGGAAAACAATTTGAGATTACGCTCTATCCCAGAGCTTGAGAAAGAAGATTTGACTGGTTACTTGACAGCAGAATTTTCCAAAGATTCCAAAGATTGGATTTTGTTAGAAAACACTGATGTCCTAGATCTGGAAGGCTTTAATAATTCGTTAGGTTGGCATGCGTATCTGTGGTATGACAAGGTGAAAACACATAAAATGTTTAAAAACCATATTGTCAGAAAAGCAATATTTATGGTCTGGACAAAATATAAAGACTTACTTGAAAGTAAGACTCCGAGGTGGCTATCACCAGTGGAGGCCAAGGCGTGGAAAAAACCCAATATGGAGGCCGGCTGGCCGAAATATTGGGAATTAATAGAAAAAATTGGAGACAATTGGAGGTTGCAGAGCTTTGAAAAACTAAAGGACAAGGTGCAAGATTGGTTTCATTATGCCCAGATTAATGAGGTCTTTAAGTTGGACAAAAAAAAGGATTCCAGGTGGAAAAATCGAAACTTGAGACAGAGCTGTTAGAACCAAAGACCAAGGTACTATCGAGAATGTATAACTTGCTGCTTGAATGGAATACTCAGGATGAGATAGTTAAATCAGCCATGATAAAGTGGGCTCAAGACATTGGGCACAATATTATGTCTGAAGACTGGGAAAGGTTATGGAACACCGGTATGAAATTCACGGCATGTAATGCCTTGAAAGAAAACATTATGAAAATGGTATACAGGTGGTACATGACCCCAGTCAAGCTTGCTAAGATATATCATTTGTCTGATAACAAATGTTGGAAGTGTAAGGAGGCTGAGGGAACATTCTTTCACCTTTGGTGGACCTGTCCAAGAGTGAAGGCCTTCTGGGAGATGATTTATAACGAGCTAAAGAGGGTGTTTAAGTACACCTTTCTTAAGAAACCGGAGGCCTTCCTTTTGGGCATTATGGACCAAAAGGTGTTAAAGAAGGATAGAACGTTTTTTATGTATGCCACCACAGCAGCAAGAATTCTTATCGCCAAACATTGGAAGACCCAAGATTTGCCCACACTGGAAGAGTGGCAAACGCAACTGATGGACTACATGGAGTTGGCTGAGATGACCGCCAGAATCCGAGACTTGGGAGAAGAAGAAATGGAGGAGGATTGGAAAAAATTCAAGGACTATTTGCAAAAATTTTATAAGTTACATGAACTATAAAATGACGCATAACCGGAAATGTTAGCCCCAGTAATGAGAGTGCAATATTTATGAAATTGGATAACATTATTGAAAGATTCAAAGTTTAAATGTCAAAAATGATAATATGTTTTGTTTTCAGAGTAAATGGATAATAAGGGATTTAAACTTAAACTGCAATTGAAAGTACAAAAGAAACACATGAAACAAGGTTATAATTTGCTGATAAATTTATTGTTAAGAATGCATTGTGAGGGAGATGCGGGGAAGTCCGATAGAAAGTTGAAATAAGCTGTTGAAAGGTTATGATTCTTTTTTTTTCTTTTTTGTGTCTTTTCTTCTTTCTTTCTGCTTTTCTTCTTTTTCTTTTGTTTGTGACTGAAAAAATGCAATAAAAATTATTAAAAAAAAAAATGAAATACACTTTCCCCCAAAGGCTTCTACAATTTTGGCCACTACTATATATTAAAAAAACAACATTCAACAATCATTAGAATCTAATAATAAATATGTTGATTAATAACAAACAACAAAGGTAATGAACACACACCGAACTCCCTTCAGTTCTTCATTTGTTCTTGAGGCTCTAATCTCTTTTTGCCTCCATTGCAGATTGAGATGTATTGGAAATCGAGAACATGGGTGACCAAAAGAAAATCCCCAGAGAGGAGAAGCCACGGAAAAATATGGAGTATGGAGACAGCTGCAGTCACAGCTCCCATTCCACATCCCATCAAAGAAATCTCATTGGAAAGAAACCCTATCAGTGCATGGAATGTGGAAAGAGCTTCAGTAGGAGTTCCTCTCTCACTTCCCATCAAAGACTTCATACAGGGGAGAAACCATATCAATGTGTGGAATGTGGGAAGAACTTCACTGATAGCTCCAATCTCACTTCCCATCAAAAAATTCATACTGGGGAGAAACCCTATCAGTGTGTGGAATGTGGAAAGAGCTTCAGTCAGAGCTCCCATCTCACTGCACATCAAAAAATTCATACAGGCGAGAAACCCTTTCAGTGCATAGAATGTGGAAAGAGCTTCAGTCGGAACGACTATCTCACTTCCCATCAAAGAATTCATACAGGGGAGAAACCCTATCAGTGTGTGGAATGTGGAAAGAGCTTCAGTCAGAGTTCTGATCTCAATTCCCATCACAGAATTCATACAGGGGAGAAACCATATCAATGTGTGGAATGTGGAAAGAGCTTCAGGAAGAGCTCCCATCTCACTTCCCATCAAAAAATTCATACAGGGGAGAAACCCTATCAGTGTGTGGAATGTGGAAAGAGCTTCAGTCACAGCCAGAGTCTCACTTCCCATCAGAAGATTCATACAGTAGAGAAACCCTATCAGTGTGTGGAATGTGGAAAGAGCTTCAGAAGGAGAGACAGTCTCAATTCCCATCAAAGAATTCATACAGGGTACAAACCCTTTCAGTGCATAGAATGTGGAAAGACCTTCAGTCGGAACGACTCTCTCACTTCCCATCAAAGAATTCATACAGGGGAGAAACCCTATCAGTGTGTGGAATGTGGAAAGAGCTTCCGTCAGAGCTCCGATCTCACTTCCCATCACAAAATTCATACAGGGGAGAAACCGTATCAGTGTGTGGAATGTGGAAAGAGCTTCAGGAAGAGCTCATCTCTCACTTCCCATCACAGAATTCATACAGGAGAGAAACCCTATCAGTGTGTGGAATGTGGAAAGAGCTTCAGTCATAGTGCATCTCTCACTTCCCATCACAGATTTCATACAGGGGAGAAACCGTATCAGTGTGTGGAATGTGGAAAGAGCTTCAGGAAGAGCTCATCTCTCACTTCCCATCACACAATTCATACAGGGGAGAAACCCTATCAGTGTGTGGAATGTGGAAAGAGCTTCAGTCATAGTGCATCTCTCACTTCCCATCACAGAATTCATACAGGGGAGAAACCCTATCAGTGTGTGTAATGCGGAAAGAGCTTTAGTCGGAGCTACTCTCTTACTTCCCATCAAAGAATCCATACAAAGGTTGGAAAAACCATTATACAGCTTTAGGAGACAGGCAAATCCGCACCTTGTTAACCAGGCCTCTGGCTGATTGACATGTAATGTCCTTTTAAAACGTGGTGGGGAGGGGGGTTATAGATGTGTATTGTGTTTTTATATTGTGCTTTTATGTTGTAACCATCCTTAGACCTGTGGGTGCAGGGATTAGGAGCCTACCCTTAGAGGCCGAGGGGTCTTTGCCCCCCCAATAATATATTTGAAGGCCCCCCCCCCAGTTGGTAGGCATCGCCATTCCAATGGCATGCATGCATCATGTGATTGATTGCGCAAGGCAGGCCTTACCTGGCCCCCTCCCACCAATATTTTTTTCAATTCAGCACCACTTGGTCGAGTGTTATACAAATTAAAATAAAGACATGAATTGCCTTCCTTTGCACATGTTCCAGCTTGTCAATATCCTTATTTATTATCATTTTTAAAATTTATGTGCCCTTCATCTGAAGATTTCACAATATAAACATACAAGATGAAAGCATGGCTTTCCCAAAAACAAGTAAAGCCAGAGAAATCTCTCCTCCCCTTTTTTTGGATGGAGTTACAAACTTTGTTGATCAGGGGAGAGCTGTGGAAATAGTGGATCTTGATTTCAGTAAGGCTATTGACAAAGTCCCCCCATGAAATATTTACATGGAAGCTGGTAATATGTGAGCTGAATGAGGTAACTGTTAGGCGGATTTGACTGACCAAACCCAAAGAGGACTCCTTCATGGTTCCTCATCATCCTGGGGTGCTGCAGGGTTCTGCCCTGGGCCCGTTGTTGTTCAAGGTCTTTATAAATGACTTGGATGAAGAAACTGAGGGGGTGCCCATCACATTTGCAGATGACACCAAATGGGGAGCGGAGGCCAATGTGGTAGAAGGCAGAATCAGATCAAGGGCAGAAATAGTACCACTCCATTCTGCCTTGGTCAGGCCCCACCTAGAATGCTGTGTTCAATTCTGGGCACCACAAGTTAAGTATCTTAAATATTGATTGCCTGGAGAAATCAAAAGGTGGGGAAACACAATCCATATTCCTTTTATAACATGTGGCCAATGTTTATTGAATACATGTAGTTTTAATACTGTTGTAGGAATCCACCCAGCACTCAGTAATTGTTATTAAACATTAAATATGGGGCGCTTAAGCAGTACCCACCCCCCGATCTCTCAGAGTGAAAATACCTCTGTGGGCGGGATCGATAAATAGGATAGCTTGAAGAACACACCAGCCCTGTGTGTACCTAGAGAGAACCTCTGTATATATAGGGATAGTAAGTTGTGATGGCAGTGAGTCACGCATGAGTGCAGTTCATTTAAAGTTGCTTTTATTCCAAGAAAATAACAGATTACCAGGAGCTCCTCTCCCGTGAGCTGGTCGCCATTACGATGATGACTCAACTAAGTTCTCAGTGTCACGTTTCATCCTACAAGTGCAACGTGGGAGGAAACACTCCTTACTTTAAGGGCAAGATGCCACTCCGTAGTGTTTGATCTTATTGTGCTGGTGAAAGACTTCTTGGAAAAGATATATGAGTTGAAAAAAATGTTGAAAAATACATTTATTAAAAAACCAGAAGCCTTTCTACTTGGAATAATAGGACTATAATTGCAAAAAAAAAAAAAAAAAAAAAAGTTAGACTGTTTTTGTATGCCACTACAGTGGCAAGACTTTTATTAGCCAAAAATTGGAAATCGCAAGAGATACCAACAATAGAAGAATGGCAGATGTTTAACTTTTTGGAGCTGGTTGGCCTGACTGGAAGAATCCGTGACCAGAAAGGAGACACAAGAGGACTGGAAGAAATTTAAAGACTATTTAGCTAAAGATTGTAATATAAGATAAAGAGAAATTTCTTGGAAGTAACAATTAGGTTTAGGAGTAGAATAAGAATATGTTGTTAATAAACATTAAGGATTAGAATATTAATAAAGGAGAAGTTGTTAGTAAATGAAAGAAGTTAATATTATTAGAAATATGAATTTGGAGAACTGCTAAACTGGTGATATAATGAAATTCAGGTAGAGGGGATTCAAGGAAGTCAGTTATCAATGAAATGAAATCAGGATTTGTAAGTAGAAATTCTTCTTTATGTGTTTTTGTTTGTTTTTGTGTATTGTAATGTTTTTCTTTTTTCTTGTTTTTCCTGTTTATGCGGTAAATGTGAAAACCAATTAAAAAAAATTGGGGGGGGGGGAGAAAGAGCAGAAAGAGAACGAGGACAGGAAAGTCCAGGAGGATAAGAAAAGAAGCAGAGTTTCCCACAACTATATTATTGTAATTAAGTGCAGTTTTATATTTGATGTTGATATTTGACTTTGTGTCTAATAAAACATCATGAATTTGAACATTATATCGTGGAACATTAATGGTTTGAACAATAAGGTAAAAAGGAAGAAAACTGAGCGTATCTTAAGAAAGAAAAATTGGGACATCATTGGTCTCCAGGAAACACATATAGCAAAGAAACATGACAGAGTTTTGATGGATAAGAAATTAGGAACAGAATACATAGCTTCAGATGTTTCCAAAAAGAGAGGAATAGTATATATATATATATATATATGCTTTCGTAGATTTTCACGGGTACAGGAATGCAGGTTTTGGTGTCCTCGGGTGTCTTCCCGTGTAAAAGTTGGGGTGTCTAGGCGACGTTTCGACGAGGTCTCACTCGTCATCTTCAGGCTGGTGCTTTCGGCTTCTTGTTACTGGAACAGAGCTAAAACCTGCATATATATATATATATATATATATATATATATATATATATGCTTTCGTAGATTTTCACGGGTACAGGAATGCAGGTTTTGGTGTCCTCGGGTGTCTTCCCGTGTAAAAGTTGGGGTGTCTAGGCGACGTTTCGACGAGGTCTCACTCGTCATCTTCAGGCTGGTGCTTTCGGCTTCTTGTTACTGGAACAGAGCAGGATCTCAGTGTTTGAGTTCCTATAAATACTGTTGAGGGGGTGTGGTGTATAGCCTCCAATGTTCTGGGCAGAGAGGAAGTTCCCAGGTTAGTGTGCCTTTTCTTCTTTTGTTTCTTTTCTTCACAAAGTTCAAGAGGTCAAGACACGAAGGCTTTAGCAACTAATCCACACCTAATGACCCACCTAAGTGGTACTCAGGATATCACTCAAGAAATCACTCAAGATATCCCTCAAGTAATTAAGGAACAAAAGAAGAAAAGGCACACTAACCTGGGAACTTCCTCTCTGCCCAGAACATTGGAGGCTATACACCACACCCCCTCAACAGTATTTATAGGAACTCAAACACTGAGATCCTGCTCTGTTCCAGTAACAAGAAGCCGAAAGCACCAGCCTGAAGATGACGAGTGAGACCTCGTCGAAACGTCGCCTAGACACCCCAACTTTTACACGGGAAGACACCCGAGGACACCAAAACCTGCATATATATATATATATATATATATATATTTGCTTTCGTAGATTTTCACGGGTACAGGAATGCAGGTTTTGGTGTCCTCGGGTGTCTTCCCGTGTAAAAGTTGGGGTGTCTAGGCGACGTTTCGACGAGGTCTCACTCGTCATCTTCAGGCTGGTGCTTTCGGCTTCTTGTTACTGGAACAGAGCAGGATCTCAGTGTTTGAGTTCCTATAAATACTGTTGAGGGGGTGTGGTGTATAGCCTCCAATGTTCTGGGCAGAGAGGAAGTTCCCAGGCTAGTGTGCCTTTTCTTCTTTTGTTCCTTAATTACTTGAGGGATATCTTGAGTGATTTCTTGAGTGATATCCTGAGTACCACTTAGGTGGGTCATTAGGTGTGGATTAGTTGCTAAAGCCTTCGTGTCTTGACCTCTTGAACTTTGTGAAGAGTTTTTCTGAGAAGATGGCTGTATTGCATTTAGTTGTGCTCTGGCTTGGCTTCGTGTATAGGGGCGAGCTGTGGTTTTGTGTCCTGTGCCAGCCAGATCTGTGTAGGGATTGCAGGGGGGTGCAGCATCCGGAGGTGCCACCATGGTTTGGCTACTGGATGGTGTCTGTAATTTATCTGTGGAGAGGGTCTGGGTTTGGGTCTGGTGTGGTTGATTGGTGATGGCGTTCTGTGTGCCTCTGGATCTGGTGTCGGTTTTTGTGGGGAGGGCTAATTTCCAGATGTCTGGCAGGCGGGATGTGTCGTCACGCTTGTTCATGTTGTGAGGGTGTTTCTCTATCTCGATGGCTTCCATGATTATTCTCTTGTGGTGATGTTCCATGTTAGAGAGCAATTTGGAATCTGCAAAATTAATTTCGTGTCCTGTTTCTTTCATGTGTTGGAAAAGAGAGGAAGTTTTTTCTTCTTTTTTGACGGCATTCTTGTGTTCTGCGATACGTGCATTTATTCGTCTGTTTGTTTGTCCAATGTACGTGGCTGGGCAGACTTTGCAGGGTATTTCATAGACCCCTTGGTTTTCCAACTGGATTTTATCCTTGGGGTTTCTGAGGATATTGGCTATTTTTTGGTTGGTGCAAAAGGCTGTTTTGATATTGTGTTTATGGAGGATTTTGCTAATTTTATCTGTAGTGCCCTTGATATAAGGAAGGAGGGCCATGCCATTGTTTTCTTCTGTGTCTTGGTTTTTGGGGGGTGTTTCTTTTTGCATTAGCTTCGTAACCCTGTTTTGCTGGTATCCATTGGCGATTAACACATTGGAGAGATTCTGTAACTCAGTTGTCAAGTGGTCTTTGTCAGCCAGGCGTTTGGTTCTGGAGATGAGAGTCTTGGCTACGGAGTTTATTTGTGCAGGGTGGTGGTGTGATTGTACATGCACAATCACACCACCACCCTGCACAAATAAACTCCGTAGCCAAGACTCTCATCTCCAGAACCAAACGCCTGGCTGACAAAGACCACTTGACAACTGAGTTACAGAATCTCTCCAATGTGTTAATCGCCAATGGATACCAGCAAAACAGGGTTACGAAGCTAATGCAAAAAGAAACACCCCCCAAAAACCAAGACACAGAAGAAAACAATGGCATG